CACAGAAATAACTGAACAGTTTTTTGATATTCATCTCTGTTCAAAAGTTATGACATCCCAAACTTGTGGAAGTTGACCTAAAATTGGTTAAGAGGCTGTATCTCAACCAAACTTTGATCAATCGAAACAAAACTTGGTACACTTCATCAACACCATGGTGTGAGGATACATGCCAAAGTTGGGAACAGTGCCACCTACAGGCGCTATCACGAGATACCAAAAATACACATTTTTGCTTATAACTTTTGAACAGTTTGTCAGAAAATTATGATCTTCTTTATGGATTCCTTGTGTCATGCCGAATCTGTGGATATCAATTTTGCCAGGAACGGCTTTACCATTTGTCTGCCATTTTGAAATTTGTCATAAATTGCAATATCTTTTAAACCATTTGACATATCTGCACAAAAATCAGTAGGGATCATTGAGTGTCTTGGGAGTACCTGAGAAGTTTGAACACAGCAGCATCTAGTGTTCCAGAGATATAATGATTTTTGCAAAAACGCATATAACTTTTGAAAACATTGTCCAAATTTTATTATTTGTGTATCTTTTCATTCCCTGGGTTGTGCCAATTATGACAATATCTCATTTTGTCATTTTCCATGAATGTGCCTGTCCGCCATATTGAAGTAAATTAAAAACAGTTTTTTTTGCTACTTCTAAGAATTTTGTCCAATTTCGTACAAAATTGAATCAGATGATCTTTGGACTGAGCCACACAGAAATAACTGAATGGATTTTTGATATTCGCTACCATTCTCGAGAAATACCTCCCCAAAATAGACCGTGCCCGTGTTTGTTGACATGATAGTTAGCTTAGCATGCTAAAAACACTGAAACCTCTCCTCAGCAACCTGATGAATGTGCATGAGTGACTAGCTCAATGTCTTACACCACAGATCCCACATGCTTCATGTCGTGGATTCAAAACTCAAGTGTGACACATGCCCAGGCTGCAAGAGGTACTCTGGGGACAAGTGATGCAGAAGTTGCTTCTGTTTCAGTCACTGTGCATTTCCGAAAATCTGAAACTGTTAAATGCAGCTAGCAGTGCTTTTATGTACAAATTAATTACTTTGAATTGACTCTCAGTTGAACTTCTGAACTTCTTTCAGCAGCAGCATGAACCACATCTTCCCAGTGGCGCAACAAGATAGGTGATAGTCCTTTGTGGTGTAACTTTATAAAATTGTGAGTAATGATTTTACGTTTTGATTACTTAAATATGTGGGTAAGTGATGTACTAATCACTCTTACTTGGATTAGAAACAAGTTTTTTTTTTTTGGTTCATTCTTAATGAACTTTTGTTCATTTTGAATAAATTTTCACTTGAACTGTTGAAATTCTGCAGCTAGATGAATACACTTCTTCTCAGTGGTATATGGTGATAACCAACAAACACTTTACTTGAAAAGTTGGGTGTTTGAACCCCATGTGGTGTAATATTCAAGTTTTTATTATTATTATTATCATCATCAGTGTGTTCAAAATATTTTGTTCAGCATTTTACTAATTTCAAAAACGTTTTATTAGTAATCTTAGGATGGGTATGACTAGGGCTGGGTATTGAGTTTGATACTTTTTAGGCACCGACCGAAATGCCTCGATACCATCGAGTATCGAAAAACGTCTCGTCGTTCGGTAGATAATGTAATCTTGTTAAAATTGATTTCATAAAATTGGTATCGAAAAAAGTATCGTTCAGGAACCGGAATCGAAGTCAAGGTATCGGTATCGGCATCGATATCGAAAATTTTTGAACGATGCCCAGCCGTAGGTATGACGACTCTAGACTTTCAAAAATTTGATTTTTTTTTTTTAATAGAGCAATAAACCCTGTGAATAAGCAGTTTGCAAAATAGATAGAAGGATGGAATAATAAACTATACTTTATAAAAGCTATAAAAAATAAATAACTGTAGGACAATTCAAAACTTTAAAAAACAAAATCTTTTTATTTACTTTTTGAAGTCATGGAGACCTTGAAACGGGCGTGGCCCCGTGTGGCTGCTTGCAGTTATATTCAAATTTATAACTGTCAAAACCACCTTATTGTTGATTTTCTGGAACTCAACCATCCATTAACAGGTAAATTTATTTCTTAAAATATCCATAAACTTTGATTTTCAAATTGTAACTGGTTTCCTACCAAGCTATAATTTTCTCTCTTTTGTTTTAACAGGACATGTAAGTGTGACCAGCTTTTTTCAGCTGAGAATACTTTTCTCCTCTTCTCCAATAAGTAACAGTGATATTTAATTTATGATCCATATTGTTATTATGTCGTATCAATCCATATTGAAACATATTGTTTTAATTATTACTTGGCTTTATGCATAAACATGCCCAGTCATAAAAATATTAAGGCCATCCCATGATTTATATCACCTTTTTTCTTTTAAAATTGTGAAGGGCTCACACTGTCCATTTTGCTACTTTTGGCCTTCATAACCATAATTTTAAAACAAAAGTACTTAAACAACCAGAAGAGACACACTGTAACTTTAAACTCAATTGTGCATTTCAGATGCATCACATCCACATCATCTGCTGAGAGAACTGCCACTCAGTCACACCAACATACACACATAATGATGCAGTGATGGCATCGTAGAGGATTGTATTTCTTGGTCTTCATTACATTTATTTAATTTTTCTATTTTGTGTTGCATTTTCTTTATGTTCAATGTCAGTTTTCATGTATTAATTGACACAACATGTTTTTTTAAATGTAAAACCCTAATAGAGGCTACAAGATATTTTACATTAGGTACAAGATATAAGATATTTTAATACCAGATAGATAGGGATGAAAAACAATAATAATAAACAATGCTTAATAAAATAAATATTCTAATATACTAATATTAATGGAAATAAACTGTTATTAAAAAGGTTGTTTATAACCATTATGGTATATCACTTTAAAAACATGTTTAGAACGGTGCTGTTTAGAACCATTTATCTTGTAGCAAAACAGCCAGAAATACACAAAAACACTGGTCACTGAACACTTATTTATTTCCAAAACTACTTTAAATATATATGGAAATAATGACAATTTTAATGTGACAATTTTTTTTTTTTTTTTTAAATATATACAAATTGTTTTTACAGGCCAACAGTGCATAGGACGGTTTTTATCACTTGCAAGAATTGGCGGACTGGCCATATGGAGCACCGGGAGTTTTCCAGGTGGGCCGCTGTATGTGGGCCGGCCCATTGCGTAAATATATAAAGAATGAATTATAGTAAATGTATGTAGCCTATATCCCTCCATCGGCCCAGGCGAATGGCCGCGCGGCCCACTTGAGTCAAAAATTCGAATTAATTTAGTGCTCTGGCTCAGTGCAGCAGTTCAAAATAGCTCGTCAATGTCAAAATGTTTGAATTAGCCAATCAAATCGAAGAAGGCGGGATTTACTGTTCACAGACGCTGAGCTGCGCAACTTGAATCATATACAAATATTAGGGGGAAAAGACAATCAGTTAATGGACTTACAAGACTGTGGGATGGATAAATGTTTTCTTGTAGGCCTATTTTATTTTATGTACTTTATGTATTTATTCATGATAAACTTCATTCGAATGCTGTCTACATCTCGCGCAATACCAACCCGTTTCCGGTAGCCTAGGCCTATATATGGTTAATATAATAATGTAATAATTTCTATAATAATTAATATAATAATTTATTAATTCAAAATAAAATATTAATAAATCCATCTCTGATAATCCCAGGTATAATATCACGTTCCCACGAGTTAATATGTACAAAATTAAATGAACCGAACATGTCCCCTCACGGTCACTGTAAAATTCAAATAGAGTTATCAATCAACAAGAGATTTAATATGGGAGTGCAAATGGACATTTATAAAAAATAATTGTGATTTGACACAGAAAAAAAAATAAAACTACAGAATTTAAATAAAGCATTAAATATAATATGACTAATAAATATATTATTAATTTGCTCTAGTTTTAGTAAATATTTAATTTTGAAAACAGAATGCAGTCTTTTAAACATCAGGCTTAACTGTTATGAAAAAGTGGCCACAAACTACAATTGTTTTAAAGTATGGGAAATCCAAAGACCATTTATTTATTTGTGTTACAGAATATAATATATCATCCTTATCCATTTTGTTAATAAAAATTCTAAATTCTAATTCTATTGAATTTGTCATTGTAATATCTTACTGTATAACCGTTTTTTTATTATTAATAATTATAAGCCACAAACTAAGCATTTGTTTAAGGGGAAAATCAAAGACCTTTTATTTATTTGTGTTACAACACAGGTATACCATGTCACCAGTCTTATTCGTTTGGTTCATAAAAGTTTTATGTTTAATATAAGCGACTTTGTCATTGTTCCAGGCTATTTTACTGTTGATGTTTTGTGTGTTTTTTTTCTTCAGTTTAATAAGCTGAAATGATTTACACAATCAATTTGATTCAACTTAACCCCACCAAACCCCCCCCAAAACCTTAGTAAGATGCACAGACCTGGTTTAATCCAGTTCTGAAGTTTATGAATCAATGACCAGTATAACTGATACTGTCCTGAGATCAAACTGTATCAATAATATAATACTTGTAATTTTAATAATTAAAATAAACACTAATATTACAATAACTAGTATTGTAAAAAAAAATGATGCTGTAGACGTCACGTGATTGAATCAAGACTTCATAGTGTCAAAACAAAATAATAATATATGATACTTGAGACCTAATTAGATTTATGTAAAAACACAATAACAGAGATCATGTATAAAGAAAAAATATTCAATACATTTCAATACTAATAATAACGGTCATGTTTCCACAAAACCCTAAATAAGACAATGGAATATCAAAATAGTGCCTTGAGCATGAACAGTAAAGTGTAAAGTAAATAGTGTAAAGAATATGTTTTTGGTTTATTTTTTATTTTATTCAGTAACAACAGTGTACAATCAGGCTCAAAACAGCAAATACAAAAAAATGAAAAATTCAAACCAAAGCTTCTATTCTTAAAAAAACAACAACAATCAGAAATCAATAAGGTATAAAATAGAGCTAAATGATCAATTATCAGATTTTACTATTTAACATTCACATCTGATCAGAGACAGATGGGCAAATTCACTTCTGACAATACAAAATATAGATGAATAGAATATAAATGCAATTATGCAGTATATGATTAAAACGATATACGGATTACAATATAAGCAATCAGAAAAGCAATATAATACTAAATTGGGGGGTTGGGGGAATGTATGCCAGTCAGAATACTGGTATAATACATTTTCTTATACATGATATTTCTCATGAGATATTTCAATTAATACCTGCAGAAACAGCAAGTGGTTCATACAATTAGCATTATATGAATAGAGTAAGAGGTATGAAAAGTGATGTATAGATGTTTAACATTAAAGGATCAAATAAAGACGAGAATTATTATAAAGATCTATGTGTACGTCCTTCAACTTAATAATAAATGAAATGTTTCTACATTTATTCTGTTTTACTATTATTTAACTGCTCAACAGCACATGGGTTCATTTCAAACACACCTGGAGCATCTTCATACTGGGGATTTCAGAGGAGAAATATGATTTAGATTTATTTTGAATGATGTTACAGTCGTACTGTACAACTGCATACTGAAGTTGTTGGAATCGTCTCAAATCAATAAAGACGCATCTGTAGTAGGGTCTGAAAACACAAAAGACAAATAACATTACAAATAGATATTTCATAAGGAGGAATATGGCTCATATGCACTGTAGTCTGTCAAAACAGATCAAAAAGACAGATAAAAATAAAAACCATATGACACAAAGATCAGTGTTTTGGGTTGTACAGTAGGGAGTAAAAATTATTTTGACCAATAAAATGTGCAGAACAAAAGAGTTTGTTTAGTGAAGAATCTAAGCACTACACTGATGTATGATTTCACAGCGTCATGAGGATTGAGACTGATAAGAAAAAAGGTGCAAAATTCCGAGGATTTCTGCCAAACAGACACTTTCTCGTGTTCATAAACAGCTTAATGAAGCAAAATGTGTCTTGAGATGCATGTTTTAAAGCTGAACTGACAGCATCTTAAAAATTGTGCTCATGATGAACAGTTTAAACATTCTGCAGATGGGCACAACACGATCATCTAATTACTCTGTCTGATTAACAGAAATCTTGAAGTGTTTTTCTGTCTCACACATTTCCACGGAAAACTATTTACAATAACATGATTAATCTGTATAGTTTTCATACAAACACAATTGTTCATCCAAATATTTCACACATTGCTAAAACAAGAATAAATTATAATAATGATTAAAAATAATAATTTATTACACTGAAATATTTGAGTTACTTACCAGAGACAGTAACACTGAAGGACCTTGCTATTTTTTTTTCGGGTGTGAAAATATGTAGTTCATAAACTCCAGAGTCTGTGGTTTCGCTGTCTGTGATGGTCAGAGATGCAGTTTCAGAAGTCATGTCCAGTCTGCCTGTGAATCTGTCCTCATTATAATATGTAGGGCTTTCTCTGGCCCATCCATTGATTCGAGCTATGGGATTGCCCTTGTCTCCATACAAACACTGTATCACATCATCTTCCTGTATTGCAGTAAGACCCGATCGTAGAGTGAAAGAATCTCCCTTCATCACTGACACGGACTCCATTGTATCTGTCACAGCACAACAGAAACAAGAGAAATGTATAACAGAAATTAGAAACCCATTAATAGCAGAAATGAATGAAAGTAATACTGACCAGTCAGATTCTCAGATATATTTGATCATTGAATTAGTGGCATTAACTCACTAAATATTTTGATATCAGTGTATTTGTGCAAGGAAACTTTAACTCATGAGCAGGTGCTAATTAAAATTGTATTGCACTGCATTCATTACTCTATACAATATGTTATTTTATAATTTTATAATTTAACTGACCTAAAAGATATCATTATTACAGTGAAAGACATGAGTTACTCACCGCACAAATTAACAGTAAATGACTTGAATGAAACACTTTGTCCTCTCATCATCTTTAATGTATAGAGTCCAGCATGTTCCGTTGTAAAGTCCCTGATGGTCAGAGATCCTGTTTGACTGTCCAGCTTTAGTCTGCCTCTCAATTTCTTATTAAGAACATCATCATATATGGAGACCTTTCTGGTCCCTCCATTGATTTCAGCTATGACAGTGGCTTCCCGCACCCACAGCATCAGAACATCTCTGCGTAATTTAGCATCAGTCTCGAGAATAACAGAACCTCCCTTCATCACTGGGAGTGTCTTGTCTTCATCTGTCACAACAGCCCATAGAAACACGGAAATACAGAACAGAAATTATAACAAGGACAATAAAAATACAGAAATGAACAAAAGCGACAATGATCTTCCGCTCCCTATCTACCATCCATTGCTGTTCATTAAATCAGTATTCATATAATGTCATAGCCTATCCCGCCAGTATTTGCATATTAATGACATTATATAGCTGCTCGATATAGAACACCCTGAACAAAACCACACCACACACACAGACACAAACACACAAAAAGCTTAAAAACCTGATAAAACATCACCTTTCATACTGTTACATTATACAGCATCATTTTTATCTTCCCTCTTATGAAAAAAATCTATCAAAAGCTACCCTTTCATAAGGCACACCTTTGTATTTTATTTACTCTTTAAGGCACACATTAGTACTTTAAAGGTTAACATTTTTACCTAAAGTTTACATATTAGTACCTAAATGGTATATATTAGTTACATTATATTATACTTACATGATAGCCTTTTTAGTACAGAACTCCTGCAGTAACAGAAATACACACAACCAGCTACAGCTGCAACAACTATAGCCCCGATCACAAACCCAATACCTATTCCTGCTTCACCACCTGAAGGCAGATCTGTAAAAGCTAAAAAGAGACAGTCATTATCGTAATGCCACAATAACAGAAATCATAGAGCAGTTGGTTTCTTTCAGGTGGTTCTACTCCTTCTTTGTCAGTTGACGGACCAATTTCTATGTACTTATTAAAAGTCACCAAATCACTTGTAAAGAAATGTATTTAAATTAACAATTTAAAAATTAATCATAACTAATATTCCTTTTCCTTGCATGCCTAACATTTGTATGCTTTTGAGAACAGCAGGTGTGGAATATATTCACTATTCTCAATTCAATATAATACATGAAAGTATGTCTATTCATAAGAGAAAATTATTCTGCTATTATCTACTATTATGTATTTGACTGTGTGTGTGTGTGAGCATTGCAGTATATTCAAAACTGGTTGGAAAACACTCATATATGGAAAATGACTTTTTTTTCCTAAATACAGGAGCTAGAAATAAGTGCATGACATGTTATTTATCATCCTTTACAGGAGCGCAAATATGGTAAAGACTAGGGGTGTAACGGTTCTCGGCAAAAAATCGAACCGTTACGGTTCTCCACACACGGTTCAACTTAAATCTAACAAGGCATCTGTAATATGGTTTGTTAAAAATAACAACACGTAAAACAGTCAGAGTTCGGCTAATATATGTTTAAGCCTAGCCAGTTTAAACATTCAAGAGCCAGAAGGCATGAATGAGAACTAATGTGAACTTGAAATTTGTGTTTGTGCTCATCCGAAGTGCGCAAACCCGTGTTCAGGTTTAAGGTCTCAGACAGCGTGCAAATATTGAGTTCTCTTTGAAGTCTTGTGCTTAAATGGACAAATTCACACAAAAATGATGTCAACATGCCCGTCTTGGTGAGTATCCTAGCAGACATGTTGAACTTACAGTATCAGTGTACTTGATCTGTGCATTGTCTTAATGTGACAGCACACATATGCAATGTTATTTTATATTTGATTACTTTATTCAATTTCTGTACCTAAAAACTAATGTTAGACCTACATAGAAAACCTGAAAAGCTAAAATTGTATTTGTATCTTTGATCTATTGTATTTATTTTATCCGTCATTTACTTTGTCTCATCAAACTGCTGGCAGTGAGAACCCTTCAGCTGAATTTATCTGATCTATGACAAACATGATGAACCATCAGATGTGACTAAAACATAGTTAATATGAATCTAATACTGTACAATGTTAAATATAAATTAGAAGCACCTCATGCATTACATCTAAAGTAACATGTTATATAATGACTTCATTTCTGATGCTGTTTTACTGTTACCACAGGCGATTTATGTGAACACAGGACATTTCTTTCACAACATTATAAGTAGTCATGCAGATGAAGTAGTTCAAGTTACTTTGCAAACAAAGTCTTAGTATTTACTACAGATGTCTCAGGCTCTGCTTGACATGCTCATTAATAGCAAACATACATTAGCAATGCATTTGTGTCTTATAACTTCAATGTATGATTTAAGGGGTCAACTGAGAAAATTACAAATACATAGATTATTAATAAACTAAAAAATACACAAAATAATTTTTTTAACTGTCTCTGACAAACAGACAGTATCAATGTGATCATTAATGAAATGAACATGACCAATATAACTAACCATTTAAATTAATCTCAAATAATATGTTTTAATAAAAAGACTGCTCGTCTCAAGATTTAACTTTGATTTTAGGTAACATTAGCATTTCCTTTATAAATATCTTGAAGTATTTTACACCAAACCTCCTTGAGAGACTGACAAACTAGAACAGTTAAATATATGAATTAACACAGTTTAAATGAGTGCAAACTTCTCTTCATCTACCTGATTTTTTGAATTTCTGCCTGAAATTTACACACTCAAATCTGATGGCTCCCTTTAACCACATGGAGTGAAGATAAGTGCTATCATTTTAAAACATGCGTACCGTTTTAAATAACAAAATCAAATAATGTCAAACGTAATTAATTCAAAATATTAATTAAGATCGTTATTAAAATGACAGACTTTGACTGACTCACCTTCGACATTAACAAGGAATTTCCTATTTACGGTGTGTCTGCTGGTGGTGATCTGTAGTTTATAGTGTCCAGCATGTTGAGTTGTGGTGTTTGTGATGGTCAGAGATCCAATTTGATTGTCCAGCTTCAGTCTGTCTCTGAATATCCCATCTGGACCATTATATATGGAGACATGTCGTTTTGCTTTATACATTGACCCTGACACAATGACAATGTCTCCAAACATCCAAAGTATGGAATCATCATACTGTATTTCAGTATCTGTGTGTAGCATAACAGAGTCTCCCTCTTTCACTGACAGTGACTTCACTTCACCTGTAACAACAAACATGCAATAAATATTGAGGAACAGCTACTCAGACATTTATTAAATGTATGCAGAAAAAAAGGTAACATTTATAGCAGTGACTATGCAAGTGAAAAACCCTGAATAATTTCAATTAACATCTCTCAATGAGTCTTGTCTAAGTCTTGTCTGAGATTAAGTTCAACAGCAATTTTTGCTATTCCAAAAGTAGCATTTTAGGCCTAACAAGACATTTCCTGAAGAGAGACAGCATAAAGAGAAGAAGAAGAACGTGTTCAATAGATCAAATGATATACTGCAAGTAAACATGTGACTTCACTAAATACTGAACACTACAAACATTAAAACATACATAGGTGTTTGATAAGTGAACAAGGTATCATGACATATAATTTTCATTATCTCCTTAGAGTCAGAAGAAACAGTAGATCACAATATTTCTTAACTTTAAAAATGTAATTCAGCACAAACATGCTATTTTTAATCTAAAATGCTGATCTAAATACATTTATTTTTACACTGAAATGTTTGATCGACTCACCGCTGATAGTCACATTGTATGACTTCTGTATGGTGTAACTGCTGCTTTTGATGATGTTAATCTCATAAAGTCCAGAGTCTTTAGTTCTCGTGTTTGTGATGGTCAGAGATCCAGTCCGATAGTCCAGCTGTAGTCGGTCTGTGAATGTCTTATCAAATGTAGAGACTGTTCCATCCTTTATATTGACTTCAGCTATAGTAGAATGTTGAGGTCCAAACTTCCACCGTAACACATCATAATTCTGTGTATCGGTAAGACCAGTCTGTAGAGTGACAAACTCTCCCACCAGCACCGAATTCATTTGATCTACAGACACAACTGGACAAAAAACAGGAATAATTACTAAGACTTCCCAGCAAGCAATAGTCATCATTTGAACGTCTCGGTTAAGTATAGACCCGATATAGTCCGGCTATGTGTAACCCACTTCTAGCCCAAATAACCTTGAACTTGGTTTCATGTCGTTTTTTTGGCAAAATAACTTGTGAGATGTATGATATTCTATCATGTAAGCAAAGTCAACAGCGTTTACAAGGTGTTTGGTTTCATTTCTTTAACATGTTCAATACGTAGCCTGTGCGT